CATGTCTATCTCGGTTAAAAACAATCAAATATTTCAAAAACTATTAATTTGCGACGGAAATGAAGTTGATATTCGTGTTCAGCGCATCAATATTTAGTAGAAAATAGACAACTGGTAGCTGAGTGTGAGACGGGAGGGAAAGTAAAAAAATACCGCCTAATCACAGCTCGGGAGGACTTCCATAACGAGCGACCACTATGAGACAGAGCAAAATTGAGGGCTTGGGGTAGGGGTAGGGTTAGGTCTAGGCCTCTTCTTTATTGTGTTTGATGGGGTGGTCGCTCGTTTCGGAAGTCCTTCCCACAGCTCAAGGTAGATCTGGATTCTAGATCTAGAGGACAATCAATATGTATCTAAAGATAGATCTAGATTTTCTAGAATCTAGATCTAGATCTAGCTAGATACTAGACTAGATTTAGATCTAGATCTCGATCTAGGCCTAAACTTCATTCTTGTAAGTTAGACAAGATCTGATTGCTGCATTTGGCAAACAGTTGCAGAGTTAATTGCGACAGAGTGATGCTGTGACAACTAACGGCGCGACGTTAATTGTGGTAGAGTGACTCTGTGACAAATAATGCAGTGTTCATTGCTACAGAGTGAGTCTGACCAAAAAAAAAAAAGAAAGTTAAAAAGAAAAAAAAGAAAACAAACACATGCACTCACACACCCTCTCTCACTCACACACACACAAAGACACACATGCACACACACTCACGCACACCGCACACGCTTGCCGTTTTCTTACATAGTTGCTGTTGTTGCCCCTTGTGGTTTTTGTTTCTGTTGTATGCTGCTGATGGTTTGTTGTAATATTTGTTGCCTCAATATTTGGGCTTTCTAATACAACGTGTACACATCAAGTCCACTCTACTGTCTGTACAGTACAGAAAGTCTTTATGGATTTTTACCACACACTTTAAGTTCGCCTTCTCAACTGTTTCAGACGATTCCTTCCTAAAGGCAACAAAATTTTCATTTTTAAATTTAGCAAAAGCTTTGTCAAATTTGTCGTAAGATTTGAATGCCTGGTCTAGAAAGTAGTGTTGGGCGGTACAGGCGAAGCCCAGTGTCGACACTTTCTCGGTACTGGGTGCCGATAGCCACCGGTACCGGGAGTGACACCAGTTAGGTGACGTCACATACTTTGCGTCTCACGCCACGATCAGTGCCGCCCGCATCCCCCCCACCCACACACACACACAACGTCAGAATTGGAGGGGCGAACTGTGACGCAAAATACCTTTGAAGTTTTTAAAAATAATTATCGCTGCTAAAAATTGATTTCATTTTCGGAATAGCGTATCAGAGTACACAAAATGGCTCACGTTGAACCTGATTTGATGCCATATTTAAATTTAAGCAAACTTCGGTTTTGATTGTCAATTTTGAATCTGAAGTCATATATCAAGGTCACCAGCTGCGTCGTGTGCATCTGATGTCACAGCTGCTAGGCCTAGGCCTACACACAGCACACTTCCCGTGGCCCAGTAAAAAAGAACGTTGGTGTCGGTACGTTGTTACTCTCTGCTGAGCGTCTAGGTGTCGGCTCCTTCCTAGAGCCGGTACTAACTGTTGGTGTCGACTCCTTCCCAGAGCCGGTACTGGAGGCCAGGTGCCGGTACTGACAACTCCTTCGGTAGAACCGGGAGTTCCGGTACTGGTTACTGGTACCTGCCCACCCCTACTAGAAAGCCTTCCTTGTCAGGCGGAGATTAGATAGGACCACCACGCTGGGAAGCGAAGCGGAAATGGTAGAGGTCTAGATGATGTTAGATTCTAATCATCAATGTAAAAGAGCTCCTTGTTCACTCTGTCGCAATTAACGCCGCGTTAGTTGTCACAGTGTCACTCTGTCGCAATTCACACCAGCATACCATTTTTAGTAGGCCTGCTCTCTCCGAACGCTCGTGAAAATAAACTTGAACTGTATTTCTCTGAAGGGTTTCCGTTCTCGAGATTTTTTGGTTATTTGCGCGCTTGTGTGTGTGCGTGAATGCGTGTGTGTGTGATATGTGAACAGGTGGGGGGGGGGATGTGGGGGTGTGGAGGGATTTTTTTGGGAAGGAGTTCCGCAGAGGGCCAGCTGACCAACAACATACAAAAGAGGGGATATTTTGAGGGCAGCGGCTATTCGGACTCGAGTCTGAATAGCCTCCCATGGCTATTCGGACTCACACTCCAATGCGTGTACCTGATGGGAAGCGGACAGGCAATATTAAGACCTTGGCTTTCCTCGGGTTCTATGTTCTGGCCAAAATTTTCAACACAAATTAAGAAAAGTATAAGATCTAGTGACTTAAAAAATGAACAACAGCTGCAAAATTTGAAATAGTGGAACCTGTGTAAGATGGAATCGCAATGGAGCGTGAAAAAAGTTCCGTCTTAGACAGGGGAATTTAGGGGTGGGGTGGGGGTGGGGGGGTTCAAAGGCCCAGCCGGTGGGATCAAGGATCGCTTGTCCGATCGGCAAGCAGTAGTCAAAACTTCACTCCCCTCAGTTGCTATCCTGTCTGATAGTGACATGCGTCAGTCTTACTTATCCAATTACCACCAGTGCTTGCCTTTCATAGGACCACTGTTTGACCTATTAAAAACAGAAGCGTTTGAACATCTCCTTTGCTTCCCCCTTAGTCCCACTCACCAATGCCACCCCTCACTGCCATCATTGTAACAACGATTCGAGGAACTTTTTTCTCGGCTGGCCGTACGATCAGGGCGACAGGCATTGGTCAATCTAATTTCACACCTCTGGCTTCTGGCTACCCAGGAAAGTTTCCGTAGTGGCTGGCTACTCAAGCACTCTCACGGGCAGTCGTGAGATCACGCCCACTCTACACTGACCATCTGCAGCGCTCAGTGCTCACATGATGGGGTAACATAGGGTAACTTGCACCCCCTACTCCCCTTCCTCGCCCAGTGGCATGGCCATGGCGTTAAGTTTAGAGCCGGCGGAATCAAACATGCGAGTTTTGTCTCAAATCAGGGCTGAGTGGGCAAAGCATTTTCCTTCTTAGACAGGTGAAACCCTCGGAAGGGAGTGGATTTTTCTTTCCGTTTCCGCGTTGGACAGGTTTCCGTTTTATGTAATTAAAGAGGAATATATCAAAGGGGGAGCAGGGAGATTCCGTAAAGACAGGTTTCCGTTTTACACAGGTTTCCGTTAAGGCAGGTTCGACTGTACACAACAGAGGCAAACAGGGAAATGGCAATCTGAGCTCAAAGCAGTGAAAAAAAAATTGAAAATCAAAGTTTCAGTACAGCAAAGGAGGTAGTCTAACCAGCTTTATTTGACGAGAAAGACAAAATCATATTTGTCAATTGGAAGTCCAGTTCGAAATTAAGAAGAGAAAAGTTAAAACCCTTCCAAAGGGAAGAAAGGTCAGTCATTCAGAGTAATGCGCATTGGAGTTTGAGTCCGATTCAGACTCGAGTCCGAATAGCCACTTCGTATTTTGAGCAAGGTATTATACCCTAACCCTTGCCCTAACTGTTGTATAGTTTGCTAACTGGACCTTGTCACGGTAGGTCTGCGGAACTCCTCCCTTTAAAAAAAATAGTTTTTGCTTTAGGGGTGACTAAAATGCAAAACGGTTACTGCCAAAGTCAAGCAGTCTCTTTTTCTCGCAGTACCTTTTGAAGGCATTTTCAAATGGAGTTAAGTCCTGTAACGTTGCCATAACCAACTGAAGTATCTGAATAATCAGACCTTAAAAATTTCTAGCTCTAGAAATTGGATTCAATGCAAAAAATGCTTCTTCCCAGTCTTTGCAGAACGGCGACGGCAGAATGAAAGATGATACCGAACTCTCGCAAATAACCAATTTATCTCGAGAACGGAAACCGTTAGGAGAAATAGATGTCAAGTTTATTTTCCCGAGTGTTCTGAGAAATAGTCACTTTGTTTTTAATTTTTCAATGAAGATTAGAAAAGAATGAGTCAATATCCGGGTATCTCTATAACAAGAGAGCATGTAAAGTATGTGCGTTTTGTCTTTTAAGAATTCTGTGTGGGTATTAAAGAAATGGTGTCATTCCTACTGGGCAGAGAGGTATACAAATAATCTCTTTTATGGCCATTACCCGCTGTTTCTTGGGAGGTAGTTTAACTCCACTGCACAGTTGGAATGAATTTTTCTGGAAATTATCATGAAAGGTAAAACAATTGCATGTCCCAGTACAGCAGGTCTAGTCTTTTCTTTTATGTCATGTTGAGGCCTGTGTGTGTAGACAGTAAATAATAAATTACAAAAGAGGGAGCCTGAAAACAGATGATGAAGAATGTTCCTACCTCATTCCCCTTTTAGCAGGCTGTTGGCCCTGTGACAAAGATTGCAGGATCTACTTTCCCATAGTCAACAAATATATGATATATATCAAGACGCGTGGGAATCAGGCGCTTGTCAATTTTTGGGAATGCAGAATTATTGGTGCAATATTAAAGCTTGTTCATTTGTCTTGATTTCTTAGAAAAAAATTTAAATACCCATTTATCTTGAATACAAGGCAAAATATTTGCGATTGAAGGAGGTGGAAGTAGCCTGGTTTCAGAGGTAAAATTACCAAGAAAATGGCAGCCACATATTGGTTATTTCCCTAGTTTGAGAGTCCATGGATATATTGAAAATTTACTTTTTTGTGTGCCTTTAATCATCATTTTTCAGTGAAATCCATACAGAAATTTGTTCTTGAATGCCTTAAAAAGGGTGTTGAGCCAAAAAACAAAAATTTGACAAAAATTGCAAAACTGATGGAAAAGTGTCATTTTCTACAATTTCATTATTTTGACCAGCACCTGATTTCACCATGCTGCCTCATATATATATATATTATGCTTTGTCATTCATCGTCCTTTGCATTTCAGGTGGAGGACTTAGCACTTCGACCTTTTGTTTGAAGAGTTTATATTATAAAAACATGTGTTATCCAGGCTGTTATGAGAGAAGCATTTCATGATTGGATGTTTGATGTCTATTGTTTTGCAGCAAATGGTTTTGAGCTTCAGAGTATCAGAACTTCATGTACTTCTTGGTTTTGCGGGAAGGAACAAAAGTGGAAGGAAACAAGAGCTGACCCAAAGGGCGTTGGGATTGGTGCAGAAAGGCTGTTCTTTACCTGTGCAGATCAAGATTCGAGAGCTGTACAGGTGTGTTTGGTCAAGAGGAGATCAATTTTTTTACAGTGGAGTCCACCTATAACGAGTCCTGAAATAACGAGAAGTCTTGTTATGAAGACACTGTTCTAAAACCCCGTTTTTCCCCTTTCTTTATCTTTGTTAATAAAATACTGCTATTTCGCAATCAGACAAACTCGCAAGTTGGGTATTTTAACAGAATATTGCTGCTGCTGTGTACAGCACACAGACCAATTTAATTACACATATAAAACCTCGCCAGTTGAGAAAGTTGTTGGTGATCTAGCTAAACAAAGAATGGGAGAGCCCACATGAACCAACAGTGAAGGCCGGAGAGAATGAGTGGGGAGGGTGTGGCATGCGCAGATAAGCAGAACGCCTCGCGTGATAGGCCAGCCTAGTCTAGATTATCTAGGCCTACTGTTACCATGTCACTCACTTCTCCGATGCGGAGATGGAGAAGTCACAATGCTGTATCAATAGATTGAGCGAATGTGTGGTGACGTGCGTAAGCAGACGGAACGCAACACAGGGTGTGGTGGGGTGGGGGGCAACACAGCGGGCGAGTTAGCCTAGAGCCAGAGCCCTTTCTTTCTGATCGCCAACTCCGAGCTGTCAACATTGCAAGCGCTAGAGACAGAAACCAGATTCGATTTTTGATTAAGTAAGACCTAGAGGTCATGTTGAACAAAATGATCATCAGAGGATACAAAGAGGAATAAACAGAACACCACTCATAGATTAGGCATACTTTATTATTATTTCCCTTGAATTTATTACTGGATCCCGTATTTATCGAGAATCCTGCTATAACGGGCATTTCGCACCGGTCCCCTCCCTCTCGTTATAACAGGATTCCACTGTATAAGATTCAGTCATCCTCCTAGTATGTCGACATAATGCTAGGTTTTGTTTTTGTTGGCATGGTTATAATAATTTTTTTGTTCAATTTTGAAAGTTTATTTAATTATGTCAGTCTGGCACTGGATGGTTTACTGTGACAATGCGATCTCCTGTTACTCCTACCTGACAGTCTTTCAATGTGTACTGCCATAAAAGGCCTGCACTTGAAGTTAATTTTATACTAGCACTTCTTTCCGCACCCTGAACTTTTGAAGGTCCAGAACTCCCCCAAACTGAAACTGAAGCCATTAAAACAATTTTAATGTCGTTAATGACAGTCCCAAGCCTGTAATAAACACAGTATAGGTATTATAATTATATATTGTAGATTGTAGAAGAACCCCAACTGGATTTGCATAAAGGGAGTGTATACAGATCAGGTAACCGGGAACAAAGTCACAAAGTATACAGACCCAGTAGGGGAAATCTTTTGTGTCAGAAAGTTTCAGCGCCCTCTTGGCTCAGGGTAGACTTAGGTTCTTCTAGATCTATGGCCTAAGTCTAAATTTAGACAGACAGACATTTTATAAATCTTTGATCTATTTTCGAGGCCTAGATCTAAATGAATATTGCAGATGTCTTATCGATGAACGATCGTTTTTCCTCCGTTTTGGAGTTGGAGGAATCAATAAGACAATAAGAAAAGAACAATGTCATAATTTCAATTGAGCAGTCACCCTCTCTATTTCTTTTAGTGTCCCTTCCCTCTCTCCCCCTCTCCCTACCCCCCTCTCTCTATCTGTCTCTCTCTCTCTCCCCTCCCTCCCCTGTGTTTTGCGCACTTTCTCTTTCTCTTTGTTTCTGTCTTTCTTTCTCTCCCACTTACTTTCCCACTCTATCTTTCTCTCGTTCCCTCCTATCAACTGGGGCATGTGATATTTGCAAGCACTTGCCCCTGTTCTCTACAACCTCCTTTTTCTCTCTCACTTACACACACGCACACGCACACGCACACACACACACCGGTCTGGGCGCTGAAACTTTCTAAAATCACAAAAGAGTTGCCTTACTGGGTCTGTGTTCTTCGTGACTTTGTTCCCGGTTACCGGGTCTGTATACACTTCGTTGCATAAAATCCCCCCCCCCCCCCCTGAATTCCAAACATTGATCGCATGTAACTGATTTTGAAATATGTTTGTTTTTTTCCCCCAATATTTTCAATATATTTCCTCAGTTTATTGTCAAATGATGTGAAAATACATATTTTTTAATTGTATATGTTAATAAACCTGGGACGGTTCGACATGTAATCTGAATCTACCGGGGTTCTAGAATCTCTGATTTTTTCCCCCCTCAAACTCAGATTTCTAGAGAGGATTCTGAGGAAAACTCCCATTTTTGATCATGGAGAAGTTGGCAGGTCTGCTCTAAGATGATATATCACAGCAACTTCATTATGCCCAAAAATTGACAAGCGCCTGATTCCCCGGCGTGTGACACATTTGTTAGAGCAGCATAATTTCAAGTTTACACGTGTTGATTACTAAGGTTATGAGCATTATATTTGGAGGGGAGGGGGGGGGGGGGGGAGGGCTTTGTTCTACATTTTTTTCTGTAAAGTTTTGCTTGTAGTTGTAGTTAGAAGGTGCCACTGGCAGGTCAGACTTCTTTTCTAACCCTCTGTTGTGTCGGCCTGTTTGTTTTACTTTTCCCTGCTTTACATATATGACCCTTGCTGTGTCAATTTGCTTCTATTTACTTTAAGAAACCCAAGCTCTGGTCTTGTTTTTGGTTGAGTTTTGCCTTAATTGTGTTGATTTCATATAATATAAATTCTAGACTAAGCTGAACAGAATTTAGTGTGCAATTTTGTAAGCAAGAAGTTGGTGGGCGCTTTGGTGTTTTTTACTTTTTTGTATTTTTGTTTTTATAATTTATAATCTCCTACTGTAATGTAAGGGCAAAATGTAGTTCTTGCAATATTCTCGCGTGTATCTCCTGTAACTTTGGAAATGAAATGCTATCCTCAGGCAAATCTACCCTGTCACCAAGGGTCAACCTAGTGCCCCACCCCCTCATAAAGAAGTGAACATGCCTGTCATGCACAGACATCAAGGTGAGCATTTTATAGGGACTGTTTTATATATCCGACAATGTAATATACTTTTTTTTTTAAACTGAAAAAAGTAGAAACTAGCAGCTTTGTTATCTTATAAATTATATCATGTCTCTAATCCCTTTTCTGTTTTCATTTTGAATCTTTTTCCTTTTTTGAATGTCTGATCATCATATTGTATGGTCAATTTGTTTTGTCCATTTTGCTTTCATCTTTTTTTTAGTGGTTAATTACTTGAAGGTAGTGGAAGGGACTGAATTGGGTGACTGTTGGAGTGTATTCCTTTTCCATTTTTATTTTCTGGCTTGTTTGACAAAACTTGTGGTTGTCATGGTTGAGGTAGTCAGTTCTTGTTTCCAACTTGGAAGTGTGCTTTTTTTTTTTACCTGAAATATTTTTTTTCCTTTTTGCACCTGGTTTGCTGTGTTGTTTTGCATGTTTTTCAAGATGTGAATAAAAAAGGGTAGGGATGTTTTGTTTCACCGGTGAGTAAAAGCATGACTGGTGGAAGTTTTATTCATTCTGTTTCCCATATATTTGAAAGTTTGAGTTTTGTATTGCAACACAAATTTTTTAACTTAATACCATAATACTTTCACAGATAAGGATTAGTCCCACAACCTGTCACATTAGACACTGAAGTCCATTTGAATAGATTTTAGTTTTCACATTTAAGCCTGCTATGCCCTACGCTTAAACCCCCCACCCCCAACCTTATTGTATATATGGACATGTCTATGTGCGCCTCAGTCAAACTCGACTTTCAGATTAGAACGCTATGTATGATCTAATGTGTATCATTCTCATGATGCTGTCAAAAGTTTGACTCCAGTTGTTTGTTAAAGTTCCATCTGCCTGTATTGTTGATTACTTGGGGGGAAAAGTGACCTGTCAGAGAAAGAAAGGCTACTATTCAGCTGGAATTAAATACTCTTGATCTACATGCCTCATTTTTGCTTGATCTCTTTTATAATTTCTGCTTATATTATCTGCATCTTCATTTGTTCGTTTTTTGTATGAATTAAAGTTCTTATAGATAATTTTGTCGTTGTGAAAATGGGTTAGAGAAAGTTACCTCTAATTGTTTTTTAAACATGTGTTGTATTTGCTTTCATTTATTCATTTCGTTGGCTATAATCTGCTGCTCTAATCTCTTCTATTGCTGACTTTTTTTTTGCATTGAGTAGTAACCTTATTTTTTTCCTTCTAATTTTCTTTATAGGAATTGTTGGGTACCCTCCAGAGGGTCCAGGTAAGCTTGCTTTCTACCTCACTGAACTGGATTTTGGTGGAGGAGGAAGGAGTATGTGGGAGTACAGAAATCTTAATAATGTGGAAGCTAATGGTATATTTTCCCTTCAGATTTTGAGGAAAAGAAACAGGGTTTGGGTTTTTGCATTACAGAAAGTATATTTCTTGTGGTGTAATCACAGTTTGCATGTGTTTGCTGCTAGCCTTGTTCATCTTGGATAGGTATTATAGATGCTTGGTACTGTTTTTATATTTGTGGGCCATTCTCAAAAGGTTGGCTTTATAAAGTTGCACGTTGTCAGATGTTTAAATTTTATGCTTCTCTAATTCTCATGCAGTCTTCACTGGTTGTCTTTCCTACTTTCTTGTAAAGAAAATAATGACACATAACTTTTGAACTGGAAAGTGTGTTTATTTTTTAAAACTACTGCACTTGATTGGTTGTTCAGTTTTGCTTACAGTAAAATGGATGTGTCTCCACTCCATGATTTTTGCCTATGAAAAATGAATGCAGTGCTAGTGAGCTTTCTTCCTGTTGATATATATATATATATTACGTGTGTATTATGCAAAGTTAGATGAAGTTCAGAAGGGTTTTCATTTTTGTGATTAACAAGGAGGTGGAGGGGATTCTGAAAATTGGTGCATGGTGTCTTGAAATGCCACTAATTTTGACCCCCTTTTTTAAAACAAGCTTATTAAAATTATAACGGAAATGTAGACTTATCCCGTGAGTGGTATTCATGGATGAGGATGCAGCAAGAAAAACTGAGAGCACCCGATACTTATCATTTTCAAAATCATTGACGTCTGTTATGTGAAGTTGTGGAGTATGGCTGGTTTCTTATTGAATAGAGTATATTTTAACATATATATTATATATATAATTTCCTGTTTTTTCCACTGGAGTTTTCATATGTATTTAATTCAAAGATCATGAATTTGGATCGGTATTTCCTATCAATCTTCCTTTTGTCCTATTTGGATCTTAAGATACACTCCAGCTGGGCGTGCCTTTTGAGAATGGCTGTTTTTCTGCATTTTTACAAAGTTAATTTGTTAAATTTTTGGGGGGATATGTTCCATTTTTTTGGTATATAATATGCTTCTCTGTTGGAAAGTTTTGGGTTTTGAATTTCTTTCAAATATATTAGGTGATTCAAATGAATTCAAGTGGATGTTTGCAAATGAAATATGAGTTCAGCTTTTCTTTAAAAGTGTGACATAACGTAAAAGACAAAAGACAATGAATGAACTACCAAAATAAAGAATAAGGGTCCCTTACCGTGCCTTTTGACAAGAAAGAAAGCACAGAAATAGCGGACCCCCCGGGGCAGTGCCACTGACTGTAGTGTCTTTAGGCCATTCCCAAAGGGGGGACATTTCTCGTTCAAGCACAGTAGAATTATAAATGGGCTGATTCATGTCATGCTCATAACTGTGCCTGATCTACAACAGGGAACTGCTGCTTTTTCTTTCTTAATCCTTACTCTTGTCATTTTCCTCTACTTCTTTTGTATGTTTGTCACTCTCTTGTGACTTGCTATTTTCGGGGTGCCTTGATAGTCGAAGCAGACCTTGTGCTGTTGAAGCTAGAGAGGTGAGCAGAATAAGTCTGATTCCCTGTAAAGACTTCTCTGTTGACACCCACCCTTTGACGCTCATATGACCTTATGCAGTTGCGAGCGCCGTAAAACTCTCTACTATAAAAAGAGAAGAAATAGTTGCTGTTTAATTTCTATTGTAAACTGTGTGTTGCAGCTGCCAGGTCAGTCTGTAATTTCATTACATTTGCTGAATTGATGTTGACTGTAATGTGGGGGAAATACAAGTTTTTAAACCCTATCCCTACGCCCCGAGGTCATTTTGTACCCCCAGGGTTGTTTTCTTCACATTTTAGAATAACTTCTAGTGCAAAGATCTCTTTGAAACTTATCAGTATTTCTCAAAAAATAATTTTGACAGACTGCTATGCAAAGTGTATGGATCGGATTAACGAGTAAATTTTCTCTTTGGAAAGGGGTGGTACAGAGTTTCCCACGTGGTATGGATACGATAGTAAAACTCAACGTTCTGATAGGGTTAAACTTTCTTTACACGGTGTCGCGATAATTTAGATTAAGTAAGATGCACCAGCAATTCTGCTTAGTTAAGCTTAAGTAAGTTAAAGTAAAGAACGTCCATGTTTCTTATGTGCTTGCAATGTATTTTTAAAAGAATTACTTTATGTTCCTTTTTTTTTTCCTCATTAGGGAATTTCTCATTGCAAAAGGCTTTGCATGCAACTGGTTTGAATATTTTTTGTTTTGTTTTTGTTAGTGACAATGTTGTTGACCTATCTGTGGTTTTGTGTTGTTGCTCTAGATCTCCTGCCTTTGGGATTTTGCATTCTCTCTTTGATAGCAGCTTTTGAAAAAGGCAAACTGAAACTGAAATTATATTTTTGTTGTTGTTGCAAAAAAGTGAGAAGTTTCAGTGAACTGTTTTCACAGGTGCTTTCTCACACTGATGTGTAGTAAATGTGTTCAGCCCTCTCTTTCTAGGCCTACCCTCCCAATTTATTTTGTTCACTCTATTTTCTCTGCTCAGCTAATTGGTTTTCTGTTGGTGGATTGGTGTGTTGTGTGTTCTGTCTGGGGTTTTGTTGTATCCCATGAGAGGAACTTTTTAAAGACAGCAGTACTATGTCACACATGTACCAATGTAGATACCCACCTCCTAGATACCCGTCTTACAGATACCCACCTCCTAGATACCCGCCTTTTCGTCATCACCATGACCACTTTGACTGTCCTCGTGAGTTTGTACTGATTTGGATAGATAGTCATTATGAAAAAGAGGAAATGATTTAGTTTTTGCCAGTTTTTTATTTGTTACAGTGGTCAGGCATGGCTAACATTAACCTAATTATTGGTTTTATTCAAAGATTGGATTTTTTTCTTTGCGGAAATTGAATCATCAGGACAACTTCATTTATGATTATAGTAGTGTCTAAGTGTTGATTGTTTTATACTTATTTCCTCTCTGTCAGTATGTTGTCTGTGACCACTATGGTCATTGTTCACTGGGCTTTACTGAAGTTTTTATGAAGATAGTAAAATTGACTTTGATTTTTTTTAAAGTTCTTGATTCAGTTTGATGTCAGAGATGGAAGGCATCATGAGTCTGACAATAGTTTGAAAACAGAGTGAAAACCTTTGAGGTCAGAAACACTTTGCAGTCGTCGCTTATTACTGTCAAGTTTCAGGAAAAACGAGAGGTCATCGATATCATGTTGTGAATTATTATAGTACTACTTTTGTGTTGGTCTTATTATGCTGAGTGTAGTTCTGTTAGTCATAGTTCTGCTCCCATTCTAGTATTTATTACTTTTCTCTGCCTAGGATACAAAACATTTTGTAGAGTAAGAACTTAAGAACTCCGTACAAAGTACAGACCCGTTGGCAAACAGTTTTTTTTCACAGGTGATTTTCAATTTTCAGGAATGTACAAATAGTGAGAGGGACATGACAACATTTTAGTGTTTTGGTTTGGTCCCATTTTCCTTGTCACGGTGGCTTGTATTTCAACATCTAGATCTAGATCTAGTGTATGATTAGTATAGAATAATAAGACAGGTTTCGCAAGGGACTGGGTTGGGTAGCAGAAGTGTTTCACCTTAGGTCAGATATGTCATAATAAAAAAGTTTTGAAGTCATTTCATTGTTCTTTAAAAGCATATAGTAGATTGTTAGAGATTATATAATTTTTTACTACTTTTAAACATGTAGATGACATAATCTTTGACTGCTGTACTAGTTTTTGTTGGGAACAGGTTGTAAATAGTAACATAAAGCACACTCAGATACTGTTCTAAACTTATATTGGAAGTTGTCAGACATGACAGTTCTTTGTCTGAGAAACAACATACAGAATGATGAGTGGAGGGCATGACCAGTAGGTTCTAATTCTAAAATTCTTGACTGACTTTGTCATTTCTGATAATTTGCCTTCCTTACCTTTTCTCGGCACAAAAATCTTATGACTATTTTTGTGTCTGTGTACCTCTCTTTTATGTGTATAAGTGAAAAAATGTACAGTTCAATTTGCTCTACCCATATTTTGTGTTGTTGTTGTTTGTTTTTTTTGGTCTATGTAACACTTTGATGTTTGTACCATGTAGCATTGTTTATTCCTCTGATTGTACATCACTTTGGTTTGTTCACCCCAATGTGTGTTGACACTTACTGTAGTCTTGCTCTTGAATGCACATATCTTATTTATGTGATACTGCTTCTTCCAAATTTATCACCGGTGTTGAAATGTTTGTATAAAAAATCTTTAAAATTTTGTTTTTAGTCTTAGAAATCTACTGGTAAAGCTGAACACTTTAATTTTGGAGTGCTACTTTTTCTCAGTCCGTGGCAAACGCCAATGGAGAATTTGGCTTGAAAAATTAAGCTTTTTCAGTTTAAATTAAGGAAATTAACTAGCATGTACTCTTTGTTTGGAAACTGGCGTAACACCACAACTTAATGAAGTAAATGTCAATCAATGTGGAAAGTACTGTGTTAATTTAAGAAGTAGTTGGGTGTCTTTACAAGTCGCAGTCGTGATAACAAAGCCAATTGGACACTGTATTGGAGCAATTATATGCATTAGCATTCTGTATTGAAAAGACTTAATTTGAGTGTCATGAACAACTTTTATATTATGTTTGAGCAAGTGAAGTGCCTAACTTGGCTCTCAGGAGTAAAATTAATTAAAAGAAGGTAGAGAGTAGGTGGTGTAAATCCACAGATATTCGCAGTGGAGATGAGGCATGCTAACTATTCTTTGCTTTTTTTATAAATGATGTGGGAGGAAAAGTTTGTGGGTCAGTGTCAAATATATTTTTGTTGCAGTTACTACAAAAATGAACAAGTCCCAGTTTTTGAAAAATTGCCGCACAGGGTAGAGTTAAATGAAGTCACTTGTTTTTCTTGTGAGAGCGACAATATGCATTACTCTTCGTATAAGAACACTTTTTGTTTTGTTTTTTCCTTTTGTATGGTTGTGTCCTGACGTCATCCACTTTTTCTTAATTTTTAAATAGCACGCAGCATTCTGTTTTTTTTTCTTTTTCTTTTTTTCTTTTTCCTTTTTACCTTTTTAAAAAGTAAGGCAGCTGTTCTTAAAGCTGTAAAGATTTAATAATCATGGTTGTAGAATTTAAAAAATACAACCCCACAATAAATGTTTGGAAGGATTTTGTTCTATAATGTATCATTGCAGTCCTTTGAATGGGCTCAGTTTTTGCTTCTATTTCCATTCTCATTCATTCGGGAAATAGGTGGTTGGTGGATGCTCTAGTGTGGTTTGCTCCTGTTTTCCTATTTAAAAAAAAAGAACTGTTGTCCTTATTTCTCCTCCCTTTTTTTTGTATGGTACTCTCTTGTAACACCTCTAATCTTCAGGATTTACATGACCTGTTTTTGTTGCGAGTGCCATAAAACTCATTAAAACTAAAGTAAAAAAAAAAATTCTTTGAATTTGCAAATTAACATATAACTATGACATAAAAGAAGTAAAATATTAGGTTATTGAAGCATTACCAATACTTTCTTCATTGATGTTGGTTAGACTGATTATTCATATTTATTTTTGCTGTTGTGCTGTTGTATTGCAAGAATTTTCCAGTTCAGGAGGCCTTTCACTTTCATGCTTTTATACTTTTATCTGTTTATGGCGAAGATGTTTTTAAAACTAGGTACATGTTTGCATGCCAAGATAATGCTTTCCTGGCTTTTAGAAGACTTTGGAGCTTCTGCTTCCCATTCATCCTTTTTTTGTAGGTCTAATTTTTCCAGCATTTACTTTGTTTAGACTTCCCCAGTTAAAAATGAAATACTTGTAAACAATTAGCTCTGTGGATGTGTCTGGGTCATGAACAGATTTGCATGTCAAAAGTACACAAACTGTAGATTCTATTCTTAACAAATGGAATACCTGTTTTTCTTTCTTACAGTTGGCCTTGACTACAGCAATGCGATGAGTGGCATGAGGTCAATGATCACTCAAGCCCCGATTCCTGTGAACCCAGACGTGAAGTTAAAGCGCCTGCCTTTTTATGATGTGCTAGGGGATCTTATGAAACCCTCAAGCCTTAGTAAGTCCTAGAGTGCTCAACTGACTGATGTACCTATGTCATAGAATGTCACTTAAACGTTTTCCATTTACAAAGATATATTGCATTATGGCTTCCAAAGTATTTCGTGTCTTCAAGTTGGGAGTGCCAAAGTCATAATGTTACACAAATGTGTGTGTTTCTTGTCTTGTCAAATTTTGAGCCTCCCATGAAACAAGAATTCATTGTCTTCAGTCATAGGGTAGGGGGGGGGGGGCATCAATCAGAGGGATGCGGCTCTCTTGTCTATGTTTACTGTCTCCTGTTGGCCTCCTTTGGTGCCAATCTATTGACTGAGGGTCAGGTTGAAGGAAAAAAATTATACCTGAAGCTCATAAGGAGCAAGTGTCTGGTAAGAAATGTAAAACTATTTTAAATAAAAATCAAAGTAGGCGCGGTTGAAAGGTCATGGCATCGACAGTCTCTTAACTGTAACTGTCACCTGCATACAGTGCTATCGCTTTACCAACCTTTTCATAAAGAAGTTATGCCCCCTTCGATTTTCACAGTTCCTCTTGAAGGGTGTTAAAATACAAATGCACATTTCAAAATTTAACATTTGGAAACAGTAAGTGTAATAATGTTATTTTCATATCATGCCATATTATGTTGGCAGACTTGATAATGCCTTTGCTTTAGAGATAATGCTCCATGGATGTCGAAGGTTAAACACTGTTTGTCTTTGAACAACAAAGGGGATAAAATACATATGTGCTGTATGTACTTTTTTTGGCCCTCTTTAGTAGATGAAGTTAAATGAATGTTGATAATTTATTGGAATGTTTTTGAGTACTTCAGTGATGATATTTTTGTTTTTTTACTCCCACCAGTTCCAAAAACCAGCAGCAGAATGCAGGAGACGATATTTGTGTTTCATCTAACCCCACAACAAGCCCAGGACATCACCATGTCCAGGTTAGTAGAGGGCCACTCTCACCTTACCCTTTCCAGGTTTTGTTAATTAGGATTTTCTGATTAAAACAATTGTTGTGAAATATGGCAACTATAATGGAGGCTCCTCGTGCTGATACTCAACATTTTTGTCAGAATAGATAACATTTGACATGTCCGAAGTTGTTCCTGCATATATTATGAAAATCAGTTGAGGGCAATTAAAGGTCATTGCTTTTATTTTTTCTGTATGCTCTCTGAACCGACTATTCCTGGCTAAAGTTGACCCAATTGGCCACACTGAACATTACTGGAAAATGTAAATATGTGTAGACCCAGTCCATGACTACACCTATGCCCAAAAACTGTAAAAATATTTTACCTAAGTTAGAAACTGTCTTCATAAGTTTTTTTCTTTTTCTTTCAGGGATTTCCGGCCTGGGGCCAAGTGTGAGTACACAGTGCAGGTTCAAGTGCGTTTCTGTCTGTTGGAGACGACATGTGAACAGGCTGACACGTTCCCCTCACAGATACAAGTCCGTGTGAACAATAAGCCAGCAACGTTGCCGGTAATGTTATGGTCCATACTTATCTGAAATACTAGTTTTGTAATGTTTGAATTAGATTATACTTGATTGATAAAGAAAAGGTGTTCCAACAGATTTGTTGTAAATTAAGAATAGAGTGATTGTGATAGTAACATGTGCTGCTTGTATTTATAAAACAGATATTTGACAGTGCTTTCAAGCATTTCCTCGACAGCTCAGCTCAACTGTCACCACCACACATGCTTTCACATACACAGAAATTCACACATAAGAAGACTTGTACAAAGAGCATGTAGCAGAACTTTTCTGTTATTCTACATTATTTGTTAGTGTAATATGACTGCATCTACAGAACTTTTTAGGTATTCATAGAAATGATGAAATAATGTGCTATTGCATTTGCAAGGCCATATCTGTGAATAGGTTGGGAAAGACCAGACCATGGTTGCTCTCCTTGAGAGAAATCTGTAAGTCCCTGTATTATTTCTTGAATAATTGCAGAATGTAATCCCAACAAATAAGCCCAATGTAGAGCCAAAGCGACCAGGGAGACCTGTAGATATCACGAGTCTTTGTCGATTGTCCCCGACTGTGTCCAATGCCATCACTGTCTCTTGGGCCACTGACTTCACTCGGGTATGTACTCATGACCTCACACTGTCACTTGTCTATGATTCTGCTATTTTTTTTCTCACTATTTCAGTCGAAACCTGTGCCGTTGCATAATAAAGCTCCACCAAAAAAGTATGGCAGCCCTATAGATATAACTTCATTGTGCCGACTAAGCCCTACTCAATCAAATCAGATACATGTGTCTTGGTCTCCAAGTGCTGCTGTGGTATCACTTTGTTTCAAAACGTTCTGTTCTTTTGCTTGATTGGAAGCTTTTTTCTGGTTTCTCTTTGCTGTTTCTTCAAGTTGTTGTTACATGTTTTGAAAGAGTAATTCAGGAATGTATTTCTGAGCTTTTGGTTCTACTGATTTTGCTGAAAGCATTTTTTCCCTTGTTAAAATTTTTGTGTGTTAATCATTGTTTTTTACATGCTGATTAACAAAATTCTCGTTGAATATTTTGTGATGAGTACAATGGGCCACAGTTGGTTCACCATAAATGTCAACCCAATGAACCTGTGACACCGATATATTGGTGTGCGAGTTATTTTCCCCTGCCCTGCAGCTCCGATATATAGGTGTGTGCATGTCTACCTTAGAACAGTAGTCCATACAAGGATAAAAAGGGGGAAAATGATGTCAAAAGGACTTACAAGGTTCGTTGCAACTATTGTAAAGCAATCAAGGCAGCTCAAGGAAGAGGGAATTGGTTTGAATAAAGAAACCATGCAGAGTTCTTGGGGAGTGTTGCCATGTAGGCATTTCTTTTCTCAGGAAGCCAGGGGACTGATTATTTTGGGCTCAGGAGGTCAGGGTTTATTGGGTTAAGCAGGCATGGGCAAACATGTCCAAGTTACGGGCCAAATTAAGTAATTATGAATACCTAGGGGGCCAAAGCAGGAGAAAATTGGGTGAAGGATCAGTTGAAATACCTAAGCTCTCAAAAGTGGGACGAAAACTGACACTATAGCATACATCACTTAAGGGCATTTCTTGAGATAAAATACTGGACCTATTTCTTTCAGCTGGGCCAGAAAAACTATTGATTTTAATTTCCAAGGCAGGCAGTTTGTTTTTATTGATTATTGATTCACAGCAGGACACATTCATTATTAATTACTGTGTCGACTTGCGGCCTTAAATTTGCCCATGCCTGATGTAAGGTTAGGTAAGAATGAAAGTTTCATCTTTAAAGTTTTAAAAGGAAAAATGGGCCAATGTGAAATCAAAGTGTTCTGACATTATGATTTTGTGATTATTCTCCTGCATCCGTCTTTTTAATTATTGCCTCATTTTTGGAGCTGAAAGTGTTTAGATTACAACACTGTTGTACTAACATGGAAATATATCCTCAGAAAGAATAATTTTGGGGTTTTTAAGTTTAGTTTGGTTCTTACTTGTCAATAAAACAGTATTTGCTATACTTTCTTATGAAAGTTTTTGCACCACACTGAACTCAATCAGTGTCAGTTTTGAATTTTTTTCTCATTTAAAAAAATGTTACTAACACCAGTTTTGTAACTTGCTTATATGTTCAGACATGCTCAGTAACTTTAATTCTTTGTTTCCTGCCAACAGAGTTTCTGTATGTCCATATACCTTGTGAAGAAACTGTCTTCAGACATCTTGTTACATAGACTGAAGCAGTTTGGTAATCGCCATTCAGACCACACTAAAGCATTAAGTAAGTTCATACAGTATGTTTCCCAATCATACGCTTAAGGGTAGGAGCGCTCAAAATTGTCATCTGTTGTTGGTACTAGTTGTCTGTTGGAAAGGGGAGGGTTGGTGACATGAAAGCATTCTGGTAATGTCGTCACCTTGTAAGTTCATTCATTTGGTGTTAGCATAGAGAAATGTGGCAGTTGTGCTGGTGTGTTGCAAATTGACAGTATATAATGGCTTGAGTTTAATCAATTTTGGGCCTGGTTGGATCGGGGGAAGGTGGGGGTACATGAGCAGTATGTTTATTACCCTTAAGCATTGGTAAGTCAGATAATCAGACCCCTCTACCCCTTTTGCCTTTTTGATAACTTATCAGGTGCTAGCTTATATGTAGAGAAAATGATGGGTGGATTGTATGAGCCCAAACTTTGATATGCAGATAGTTCTGGGAAAGTAGTAGATTTTAATGTTTTCAAAAAACGTTTGTAACCTGTGGAAATAATTGTGTCACGACGCGGTGGAATCAGGCGCTCATTAATTTTTGGGCATGTAGAGTTATTAGTATGATCTTAGAGCCTGTTCATTTGTCTTGCTTTCAGTGAAAAAATTAACTCTTTATTTTCATCAGACGTTGAGATATTTACAATTGAAAGTGGTGGGGGTCGCCTGGTTTCAGAGTTAAAAACAGAGAAGATGGCTGCCAAAGTTTGATGCATTCCATAGCTAGAGAGCCCTGGGAAACTGGAAATTTACATTTTCTTCGCCTTTAAACGTTTTTCGTAAAGTCAACACGGATATATGTGTTTTTAAATGGACATTAAAGATGATTAGCCCTAGAACAAATTTGATAAAAATTGCCAAATTGATGGAAAATCGCCTGTTTATTCAATTTCATTAAATTGACGAGCGCCTGATTTCACCACACTGCCTCACAAATAGTTTTGAGTATTACAGCCGTGTGCATTGAAGTTCAGTGTTGTTCTGAAATGATTGTCTCTCCTCTCATGTTTATGTGTAAGATGTGCAGAGATGCCAACCAGTACGATTTTACGTATTTTAGTACGATTTTTTTCGGAAAATGTGCGAATACTACTTTTCATGAAAAAATACGCATCTTGGAATGCGAAAAATACGAGATTCAGCTTGGATGAGTAAACCTATCTCTAGTCCCATCTTTTGTCAAAATAGTATCAGTATCGCAGAACTGGAATATTTGAAAACCAAGTCCAGTGTGGTTAGTAAGTATATTTTTGCCGGTCGCGATCGTGATATTATATTCGTTCAGCTTCTCCCTGTCTGGAGAGTACGTTTCACTTTCACGCGAATAGGCAGCTATGGCGGCAGGCAGAAGCGTATGTGACACCAAGGCTCGATCGGGAAAATCAAGATCTACTTTCGCTTTCGTTACCACATAGTAGTTTGCCAGCAGTTGTCTAATAAAGCAACTTTTGTGACATGCAGGTTGTGCAGTATAAACGCAAGGTTGCCGTGCAAATAAAATTTAATCAATGCTCGGACTCGCCTCTGTGCTGTCACTTGTGGAAAAAAAAGAAAAGAAAATACAAGCGTCGACCGATTTTTAGATTTTTTCTGGCTCGCCATCGTGACCGGTCACTGAACCTGCGCGCATTCGTGTCATAAATAAATGCGACATCGTGTGAGCAAAGACCGTCTTTGGTGGGAGTAACGGCCTTGCGAAGTATAGGACTACGGAATAGGGGAGGAGATTATTGATTTTTTGGAGGTTTAAGATATTATGGGGGAGGGACAAAAACTTGGAAGCACATTTCAAAATTTTGATTAGAGCTTTCTGCAAAGCGCGCGTTGGTGCAGGCCGTGTGCGGAATCGGGACCCTTCAAACTTTGCAAGTCTGTGTTATTGAAATAATGTGTTCGCGTTTCATTGGATGGGTGATAGTAAATTATACTTAGCCTACAGTGTATGTTGTGGCTTTCTGTTCAAGACAGGTAGATTTTCAGTGTCACTACATCTTGCCCTACCACAGTTATTACAACTCTCACAGTGCATGGGTGTCATGGCATTGTGGACTGGGGTGTCTGTGGACTGTCTGCCCACCCTGAGAAGAGGCCATTCATGTTGAGGATAGGAGGGTACTAGGAGTTTTCAAGAGACTGGAAAGACCTAACTGCCCTGTGACCGTGTAATTCCGGTAGGGTTCACGTTGCCCATTCCCCGCCACCAATGGCTACTGGCTAAGGTTTTCGACTCTTTCATGAGGTATTGGCCAAGTGGGGAAGCCATTGGATGGTCACGTCCTGGGTCGTTGTGCCTTTACTAAGAGGTTTCACGGCCAGAAAGCAAGTCACGCATTCTGCTCGGTCCATCCCCTGCACCCAGACACACTCAAACTGGCTGGTACCTTCTCAGCCACAGAGGGTGTGTTGATGAAAGTAGTAGAGGTGTTAGGCAGATTAGACACCCACTCAAAGGAGAGTAGGAGCGTGTTAGTGAGGAGCATTGCGTCTACCACGCATCGGTGGGTTCTGCCTCCTGCACCTTGTGGGGCCACACCTGCTCCCATCCTGTTGTTTTAACCCCTCTAGGAAACGGGGGGGTTGGTTTGTGGGCGCCAACAACTCGCCATTCGCCAGAGCCGTGTCAGTGAGGACAGGGACCACCACGGGCAGGTACGGTTGGCTGGATTGGGAGAAGCTGTTTGAGACGCTTAGGCATTTCTCAATATTTAAATGAGACCCATCACCAGTCCTTGATCCCAGAATAAACCCGGAACTTCCCCCAATGTGTCCCTTGTGTGACTATGCATATGAGACTGTGGAGCATCACCTGTTCCACTGCACAGCCCTAAATGACATCAGAGCTACCCTTCTCTCTCCGAGACCTAACATAGACAACACACTCTATGGAACATTACAGCAACTGCAGCAGACCTGCACTTATCACTACATGGCATTGGACAGAAGGGCGAGAGCCCAGCTGTTGCTGGATCGATAACAACATAACAACAACAACAACAACACAGTGCATGGGTCTACTTGAGTCATTCAAGTTATCGCTTTTCTCTGAGTTTGAGCAATAATTTGAGTCTGTCAGTTCATAATATGAATCATGACACCCAGACTGGTTCTTGGTTGTCGAAATTTTTGTTCTAGGCCCTTCCCACGGCGTCACTTTTCGCCCGATTCTGTTACTTTTAGTTCGCGTGACTCAGCAGCCCGCCGGAGCTCCCCGGCTCGGGGTCACGGGGTTAATGAGCCCTGAGGCGACTTTGCCGGTGTCGGTCGGGAAGTTCGCATTTTTGACTATGTTTAAAACGATATAACTTCTTCCCCATCCCACACAGAAAACCATTACGCGAATGTACTAAAAGCTCAATGTCTTGAGATTTATTCTGCGTTAGAATGGTTAGTTTCTGTGCCTTAGTTTTTGTTCTAGACAAGTGTTTGTAGAGTACCCAATTTGTCCTATTTTAGTTACAAAGTTATGAATAAATGATTGTTATTTTAAAAAAGGCACGACAGATCTCTCCAAATTCTGTGTTAAACTGACTACGAATATCATGTCTTTTACCATAAGAAATCTTAAATCTGCGGTAGTAGTAATAGTCAAGTTATAAGAGAAGAAAGATGCATATCTGCATATTTTAACTAAAGACGATCAGCGTTAGCTCTTATTTTACTATTAAACAAGAGAAAGTTACTCTGTGTTTGTTCATGAATCATGCTGTGTCTGTGGCAGCCTGCATACAACTAAAAAGATATAATATAAGCGATTTGAAAAACCACAAAACCGTGTAAATACATGGGTAGAGATAAACTTCTAGTATGGAATAAAAATAATGACAGCTAAAACATTCATTCTTAGTTTTTGTGCAGGAAATATGCGCGGACACAATTATGAATGTAAAGAAATCAGTCACATTGTCAGTTATTGCAAATGGTCATAGAAACGTAAAAAAAGCTGGAAAAGTCTGGTGCTGATTCAGTGTCCCTGGAAAGCTAGAAATTATTCTTATAACCCAATTACGAGAAGTCATCCTTATTATTCAGTCAACTTACAAAACCTAGACTTAGCGTTTTAAGAAAAGTAAGCAATTTCTGGAGTGTAACAGATACTGTTCGTGTATTAGATCTACGTTGAAGATATATTCTAGCACTAAAATCGATTTTTACTTTTCATTGAGAAACTTCATGATAACTTTTATAAACTTTCGAGAAAATATGCGAATATTCATGATTATATTAGACACATAAAGTTGTATTTGGAGGAATTACTTCATAGCGAATTGTGTGCCCGATGGATAAAATTGCAAAATTACAGCCTTCTATTATAAGCGCAGATACCATCTTTTCTGAGTATCTGCACTTATGTTATGTCGTTCATATTCCAAAAGTTCGACAGATTTTGACGATGCGTTTTTTTTATATTGATTTATTTTCATTTACGCTAGTCCCCCAAAAATTACAATTTAGCATTGCCGACTCCAGGGCGTCTAACGAAATAACCAGACAAGTTACAACGTCCGTTCTTTTTTTAGTCTCAAGAGCAGAAATGCGTGCTTTGGGTGCACTAAATGAGAATTACCATAAATACAAGGATACACCTTAAATTGTACGTTGAAAAGTACCAAAAATTAAGTCGGCCCAGACAGAGCGGCGACAGGGAGCTGACCCCCGTGACCCCGACGTGATAAGGCGCCCGGCGGGGAACACCCCGCGGCAACTAAAATTCCACTGCCGGTGCGCCGTGTTCCGAACTCTCAAAGCAGGATTTATTTTTTACATAATAATGAGAGGAAAATATTACCGGTATAATAGACTGAAATATATAAGTCAAACAAGACCCCAGTACGACACTGAACACTGACATGTTGTTGATTGGATACATGTATATTGTACGTGTGTGTGCTCCCTTTTTCGAGCTGGTGAGCTAGTCATTTTTTTTCAGGAAATATTGCTGGACCCCCTTAACATTTTACTATTACTAGTTGGTCGGTCGGTCGTGGGGAATACACATTTTTACCTGAAAATACACATTTTCATATTTCCCAATACTCATTTCGGTTTTCTGTGGTTGGCATCTCTGGATGTGTAAGTTGCAACAGCATATCAAAAGAATGTTCAAGAATATTCGGTAAATTTCTTTTAGTATTTGGCTATGAAAAATTGGTGTCTGCTTGTGTTAATGGAATAATTTAACTCTTTTGCTTCCTCTTTTTTTCCCACAGTCAAAGAAAAACTTTCTCAGGACCCAGACAGCGAAATTGCTACAACAAGTTTGCGAGTCTCACTCATGTGCCCGGTATGTTAAATTGTGAAGTCTTATTTACTGGGGCTAAGGATTTTTTGTCTCTGTAGAGTCTTCCTGTTTTGAAGGGACAGTTCCTCTGCATAGGATGTTGTTTGAAGATTGTTTACCTTAGAACATTTTTCTATTCGGCATCTTGTATTCATCTTTGAGATTTTTCTCTTCCCACTTTAATTGCACATAAGAATTTAAAAAGGTATCTGTTTATCTAAGATGAGAAACCATGCTACACATAAATCTCATATTTTAAGGCAGGTAATTATTTTCAAGGGCATTTGTGGGCCGAGTTGCTTATGGAATTAAATACTATTCTGACTGAAATTGGGGCGGGGGGAGGGATAAGTTTGGAAATAATTGTAATTACTGTTGGCTTACTCTTAATTTTTCTGACTCTGATCTTTTTGACACATATCTGACCAGAATCAATCTTGAGCTTGACACATGTGACTTGAAGCGTTGAAACTCCGACTGTAGCCATTTTTCATAAGCTTTTAACTTTCTTTTTCATTATAGTTGTTCTGTTCCTATATCTGGATGAAAATAGTGTGTGTGTGTGTGTGTGTGTGTGTGTGTGCGCGCATTAAATTAATATATATTGCATGAGAAGAAAGGAAGTAGTAAGAAAGGTTTTTATGAAAGCTTGTCATTCTAGCCATGAAGTCATATCTTTATATAGACTATTGGACGGAAAGGGTGGGTTCTACAACACGTAACAAAGCACACATCGTGCGAAATGAGACTCGTCGACTCAGAAAGCTCTTCTCAGTTCTTTACACTGGTTTACATCCTTACAGCTTGTTCTACCCGAGTCTTGTTCATGGATAAATCCATTTCTTCATTTCTCTTGCTACTGATTGTAGTTTGGTGAGAAGCGCGAGCTTTGTTACCAATATAACAAAGCAAGGTGTGTATTTGTTTATCTCACACACATGCGAGACGGAGGCAGCGCATAGAATTGAAACGCTTTTTCGTCTTAGCACTTTCAAGTTGTTTACATCGATAAGATTTGTTCTATGTAGTACCTGTCTATGGATAAATTTTTCTCATCATTTATCTTTCTATTGGTATGTTTTGCCGATCCGTCTCTTAAAATAAACGAACAATCATATATTAAAGATTGTGACCACCGATGTCTTATGCACGTTAAAATTTTCCTTAGCATGTAGGGTACATATATGGTTAGTAGTCAAGGGGTTAAAAAGAGGAAAAAATAGCTTTTTGTTAAAAAAAGAAGCTGCATCTGGAGTGTCACTTTCCTTTCTTGATATGATGGTTCTCGTATCTGCCAAATTTAGAAAAGCGTGTTGTGTTTTGTCGTCAAACTGAATGTTCATATAAACAACTGCTGTCCAGTACTCTTTATTTCCTGTAATACATTGAGGTGATTATTGGTTAAATACATTTTTGTGTTTTTTTCTGCAGTTGGGAAAAATGAGAATGCAAATTCCATGTCGGGCAAGCACATGCACGCATCTGCAATGTTTTGACGCCTCCACATTTCTCATGATGAATGAGCGGAAGCCAACTTGGATGTGTCCAGTTTGTGACCGACAGTGTCCTTATGACAAACTTATCATCGACGGGTATGTTTTAGTTGTTTATTCCAGGTCAAATAATGAGAAAGGTCAAGTGTTTTAATTAAAAGTGTAATAATTTGTTGTTTTGACAGTCACTTGACTCACGGAATGGTACTAGATTAGTTTCGACTACATTAGTTTAGATTTTTTTGTCATCAGTGAGTTTCTAGTCCAGTCTAGAAATGCTGCTAAAGTGCTTGGCTTATTCATTTCATTAAGTAGTCTACTGGATTCCAAATTACTTATTTTGCTCCCATACTATTGTTTTGGGAGGATCCTGAGAAATATTTTTTGTTACTTTTATTTTTAAAAGTTCCTGAAGTTGATTAGGTTTTGTTTGGAAAGGTAGAAACTAAGGTAATATCAGAAGAAATAAGGATGGAAATATTTCAAAGTTGGGAAGGCGCTTTCAAAGCGATCACTTATTCGTTTCCAACCAAAAAATTGTCGTCGAAAAACATGTTTGCCTCCTGCGCTCGGCAGCACATAGTTACCTTTACAGTTGAGCTACATGTATTTCTGTTCAGGACTATGTATTCAATGGCTTAGGCTACAGTTATCTTTAACCCTTTAAAGTTGGCACATTTACAGACAAGCTGAATTTGTGCCATCATAGCGGCTTATTTGCTAAGATGAAAGTGCCACTGTATGCTTATTTCCAACTAAACCTGCTGCAAAAAAACAAAACAGAAGTAGGCCAATGGCTTGAAAAGTTAAAGTCATGTTGAAAAAACTGAATTATAAATATCTTGCATACACTTTTCATTGTGAAAGAATATCTTGCATCATGAGAACTAGTGGGTGGAGCTCTGCAACCTAGACTTTACAGTTTATGGAGCAATATGCACTTGAACAAGTATCGACAAGAAAGTTTCAAACTTTTATGTTAATGCTTGACTTAACCAAAAGTAGCAATAATTTTTATAAACTGCCTTCACAGTCCCAACTCTATCAGTCATGCACATTGTCCTCAGATATTTTGTGGAGATCTTTAGAGACTCTCCATCCTGCACAGATATTATATTTCATGAAGATGGAAGCTGGTCGCCCATGAAGCCCCAGAAGGAGTCTTCTCAACAAGTCATTCTCACACCCAACTCCAAGGGGTCATCAATGGCGTCGAGTCTATCGTCTTCATCTTTGTCAAGAAGTAGTTCACCACTCACAGGTAAATTAAGTTAACATTAGATGTTGAAATATGGCACTGTTAGATTCCAGTTTGTATGTAAAGAAAAATGGCCAAATTTTATTCTGACAAGTCAGTAGGACAAGAAATGCCTGCTCTGGCTTGAAGGTTTATTTTTTGCTTTTCAAGTTCAGTTTATTGAATGGAAACTGTGTTTTTTTCCTTTTTTTTTTACTTGAACAAACAAATCATGTTTGAAAGCAGAAATTCTTCGTGGATGACTGGACTTGAGCTGTAGACTTCCTTTAGTTTTTAGTTATACTTTAGTTGTTGTGGCTTGTTTTCATTGCTTGGGACTATGAGAAAGCTGAAGGAACTCCTTAATGTTTTGATCTAGTAACAAGATTTTGAGTGACTTCAGATTTCTGTATTTTTTTGGTATTGTTTATTTGTATGTTTGTTGGACCTTTCTGTAGATTTTGTTGAGGAAATGCATTCTCTTATCATCATCAGCGACAGTGACGACGACGACGATGTCCTCACAGCTGATGGGAGGGTCAGGGACTGTGTCGTCGTCATCAAGTAAGCCTGCTTCGTCCAAAGGCCCCATCATTGATCTAACCATAGACAGCTCAGATGAAGATGACGATGACGATGCCGTCATTTCAAGCGATCCAGTCAATTCACCCCCCGTCATCACCCTGGACACCCCATCACCCACCCCAGCTGCAGCTATGCCCGCCTCCCCACCTGTTGTCCTGAGCAATTCACAGTGCTCCTCGCCTTCGTCTGCCAGTGCTAGTCATTCATCCTGTGTGTCGACCACCCCATATCCTTCAACGAGCTCCCAGTCTCACAACTCGCCACATCCTGTGCGGGACAGCCCTCCGCCACTAGCCCCGGTGGAGAGCATCCTCAACGGTTCCCCCAGTATCAGTACTCATTCCCCCTCCAGCACATTACAGTCGCAGGCTCTCAACCTTGAGGCTATGTCTGATGCAGATTTCGATGAGTTTCTGAAAGGTTTGTCTTGGGGAGTTTGAAGAAGTACAGTATTAAGGACAAAGAAGACACAAAATATATTAGAAAAAAAAATCTCCATTGAAAGACTATTTTAGTCTGCACAAACTTGCTAATAGCATGCATTCTCACAGACACATTGGTGATTTCTAAAACCATAGAGTGTGATAAAATGGAGAATAGGCATGGGAAACTGACTATAGGCAACTTACTGTGACTTTTTGATTGAAGAGTGATCTGATTGCATCTAGTGCCTTAGGTTGAACAAGTTGAAGATTTTTCCGACAGCTCGTCGTCAACATGGTGGGACATCCTGTAGTCAGCTTCTAATTTGCTCTTTCTTTAATTTTTTGGAAATGCAAAATAGATCCACATTCTGTGAGGATTTGAAGGTTTGAAAAAAGGTTTGGCAAAATGTACATGACAAAATTCTATTTATATGTGGTTACTGGTCATCCCTAGGTTGTATATGGTCATGAAAGCGATAGTTATGCAGTTTCTTTTATACCCATGGTTATAGGTTTACAACTGAAAGATGTTGTGGACAACTGAAGATTTGGTTCTGTTTTGAAGAACAGGAAAGATGGGCCAGCTGCTTTATGATATGTGCTTCATTTTTACTTAATTAATTCTCCTTTGTGTGATCAAACCGATGAGTCAGTTGGAAAACACCTTGAAACCAGAAAGTGTAAATACAAGAGAAGACTGATTTTTTAATTTTAGTGTGGCTGTGATGGTCCTGGAAAAAAAAGTTTTAGAATTATGGTCTCAGTAGACATGCATTCCTTGATGAAGCCTGTCTTTTTGTCGCTCACTGAAAGCCATTGTAGTTGTGTCCATTGGTGTCTCCAAAAATTTTCGAATGCTGATGGTATATTTCGCTGAAAGTGCAGTATTTGCGGATTGTGTCCCTCAAGTCCTTATTTAGAATGAAATTGTCATTTTTGTCGTGTTGATGACTGGTAGGTGTTTTTCTTTGTACCTTTACCTTTCACTTGTCATGGAAAAATCTTGTATAGATTCTTTTTTGGGGTCTTAATCATTGTTGGCACTTTTGTGTAATCAAAGGATTACTTTTTTGTTGCAGGTGTCAGTTTCATGTTGATAAAACTTTAAAAAAACACAAAAAGTGTGAAATAATCTTGTTTGTACATTATAAAATGATTTTTTTCCAATCTGTTCTTTCCAAGCAGTTGATTAGTTATCTTATCAGTTCACGTATGTATGTTACTGGAACTTAATTTCTTGTAATACTGTCTGTCTTCTCCCACACGGTTCCCAGTGGCATTCGTTGTTAACGCTTACTGTCTTAGTCATGCACACAAAAGTATTTGTGTCATGGCGTGGTGGAATCAGGTACTCGTCAATTTTTTAGGCATACGGGGTTATTGGTATGATCTTAAAGCCTGGTTATTTGCCTTTCTTTTAGGGAAAAAAAATATCCATGTTGAATGGAAGTCTAAATATTTGCGATTGGAGGTCAGGGTTGCAGGCTTTTAGAGGTAAAATTAACGAGAAAATGGCCGCCAAAGTTTGATAACTTCCATTGCCTGAGAGTTTTTGGAAACTGCAAATTTACGTTTTCTGTGCCTTTAATCAATGTTTTTCTGTAAAATCCACACATAAATGTTTTTGAATGGACATACAAGGTGTTAAACAAAATACAAAAATTCGAAAAAAAATTTGCCAAACTGGCCGAAAATTGCTGATTTCTTCGATTTCATTTATTTGACGAGTGCATGATTTCACCATGATGCCTCACATCTGATTCTCAGGTGGGGACAATGGGTTTTTTTAAAATTGGCGTTCATCCATTTTCCTGTGGTGTATATTTCTGTCAGTCTGGGATTTCTGTCAGTCTGGGTCTGCCATGACAGACAGTGAATGCAGCATATCCCCAAAATTGCCTAAATTGTATTAAGGGTGTTAGGGGTGTAGTTCATTTGCATTAGCGATAAATTTTGTTCAGCCCTCCATGACCATCAGCTTGCGTAGACTTTTGAAACGGTAGTTTTTGCTTTTGTTAGATTCACCAGCATAACATTTGTCTAGCAAGACGGTTGACACTCCCAGTTGTCAATGTTTTGCTAAAAGACGCAGAATCCTTGCAATGATGTAGTCTTTTGGGCTATGTTTTGTCTCTGGAAATGTTTGATGTTTTTCTTTTAGTTTTTCTAGGCTCCTTTAATGTGGAAGTTCGATCTGTTGCCATGAACAAAGTTTGTCATGGAAAATTGTGACCAGTTTTCTACAACTTTTCATGGTATTATATTTTTGTGTCTGTTTGGGTAGATTCGTAAAACTTGGTTTTTCAGGTTTTTAACTTTATAATTGAATAAACTTGCTCTAGGAGTAGTTCTATTGTTTTCCCCACCTGCTTAGGGCAAGTTGTGAAATAGGCTCGTTTCCATCAGCTTTCTGGTTCTTTCTTCAACCCCAGTGGATGCAGTACCATTGAGTGTGAACAGATCTTTTATGAATGGACGTAACTTGCCATTATGAAGGAATGCATATGTGTACTCTGCTGGATTATAACTACACTAAGCTAAAGGGAAGCCCTGGTTCAAATCAATAAGGGTCCTTCATTAAGTTATTTAAGTAAGGAGTTTACAACATTTTCATGGTTGTCCACATGATTTATACTCAGCTGTGTTGTGGTCCCGCCTTTTAAATAACCTTGTCATGTGGAGAGGAGTTGTACACTTGTATGATGCAGTGTTTTAGCTGTTCATTTAATTAAAGCAAAGGATGTCTGTACAAAGATTTCTCAGATCAATGTTGGTGGAGTTTAGTCACAGGTTGTATACACAGGTTTGAGAGATTCCCATTCATATTTCTTGTTCTGTATAGTGTGACTGGAGAATGACGAGTCATTAACATTTTTTCATTCCATTGTACACAATGTCATGTTGACTAAATGTGCAGCCTTCGTCGAGTTTTGTAGTTCCATCATTCCTTTTTTAAAATGCCCTTTGTGTCTTTTTATACTTTGTTATGAAAATAGTTAAAAGCAGTGAACAATACAGTAGTTACCAGGGTTCCTAAGAGACTGCCACGCTGTATGTCCCCCTTGGAACTGAGATGGTAAATAACAATGAACAAGCCTGCGAAGGGAGTGACATTACAATCACATGAAATGCTTGCGAACCTGGGTGGTATCGCCCTCTAGTGGGCTATTCTGTAATTTTGATGGAGGGTGAGGTTCGCCCGGGTAATAACAAGTTTTCTTGAACTTTAATGCACCACTTCAAAATACATATAGATGGCGGGATGGTGATTTTAGGCTTTTTAAGATGACAGATAAAAGGCAAAAGTGGGCACTGGCTATAATAAGGTAGACAAGCACTGATTTAGGGGTTAAGCCTACAAGATTGAGAAAGTACTGACTTGTTTCACTTACAAGGCTTCTTTTCTTGTCTTCTCTCCAGTGTTATAATGGTGAAATATGTCCACACCCAAATAGTTCCTCCCAAGTTCTTCCTGTCAGTGTTTGTTGAACATCTCTGTCTAATGTTGTTTCATGTTTCTGTGGGTGAGTAGTGGGTGCTCTGGTGTGGTTTGCTCCTTCTTTCTTATCAATGATCGGTTGTCTTTGCCTCTCCTTTTCTTTGCTCTCTAGTAAAACGTGAAGTCTTAGGCACTTTAATAATATATTTGGGTTGCAAGTGCTGTAGAACTCACTAAAACGTAACTGTCTCTTTTTAGGTGTTGCTCCACAATGACTCCATCTGTTGGGTCAGGGAGTACTAAGCAGGACAGCAATATGGGTGATCCTGGTTTGATTCCATGAATACTCTGCCTTTGAAATGGCCTGCAGTGTTGCAGGGCAGTGGCTTTCAATAATGCAAACAATTGCTTAAACTTTTCAGTTTGCCTGGAAAATAGATAGCCTACTGTGGCTAAATATGGGAAAAGCTATATTACATTAATTTTTTTCATTTGTCAAATTTTTGTGTTTATCTCTCTTCCATTGTTCGTTTTCTTTGGGTTTTTGTCTCCTGGTTTTTGACTAATTTAATATATTCAGCAATAAAGGTTGATTTTTGATTTGAGTGCTTGATGTGGGATATGGAAGCGAGTTTGAGTGATCTATTTATAGCGCTTTTTCAGATTGTTCATAATGTACACGCTGTGTCCTCAAGAAACTGAAAAGCAAAGTAAGGATGGTTGGTAAATGTGAAGTGTAACCTTGAATGTAAATGGCAGCCACATGTTCATCTGTTATATAATGTGAGGATTTGCAGCAAAACATTGGAATGAAAGAGTTGTCAGTTTTGTATTGTTATTTACATAGTGAATCTCTCGAGTCATTTTATCATCTGTATGCTAATAGGTTAAGGTATTTTTTTTTCATGTTTAGTTCAGACTTTTATGGTTTGTTTTGCAGAAAGTTGTCCTTTGTCTTGCTGGGAGGGCAAGTGTGACTGTTATGAACTATTTTTTTGTCTTTGAAGAACTTTGATAAAAATGAATGGTTTTTTAATTTATTTCTTGTCAAATGACAGGTATAATCTTCATGTAACATCGCAAATTCTTGTCCATACTGTGCTGTAAAGTAAAGGTTCAAATCCGTATGACCATTGTGTTTTTTGAACTGTTGTAGAGGAACACAAATTCAAAGTGGAGAATTGTGGCTATCTGTGTGAATTCTTGTTTTGCCTCATTCTTTGATTGTAAAGAATTGAAGATGTTGTCATATATAGTACATTATTAAAGTCTTGTGAAATTACTTAACTTTTGTTATGTTGTCAATTGTTCAGTCTGTTGTTGATTGTCTGACCAACTCAGATTCTTGTTGAGCAGCAGGTTACAAACACAATCTTCCGTGCAGATGTTTCAGGTTCAAACCTGAGTGGGGCCAAATTTTTGTCTTTTTTTTATCCTCATTGGCACATTTTTTCTGCCTGCAGTGTCCCGACGCAAGTACCCTTTCTTTTATGTCAAGGAGGATGTTAGGTTCCAATAAGTTCATGATTGGCTGGATGCCACGTCTCTCTCATCTGCTGTCACATGTGGGTGATTGGCGGGTGCGCTGATGTGGTTTACTCCTTCTTTCCTATCAACCTTTTATTGTCCTTATCTCTCCTTCTTTTCTGTTTCTCTCTTATAACACCTCTAATGTGGGTGGTTGGCGAGTGCTCTGGTGTGGTTTGCTTCTGCTTTCCTATCAAACATCTGTCGTCCTTATCTCCCCTCCTTCTTTTTAATGTTTGTTACTCTCTTGTAACACCTCTGATCTTCTGGCGCTCATATGACCTTATGCAGTTGCGAGCGCCGTAAAACCTCTACTAAAACATGTCTCCCCTCCTTTTTTATGTTTGTTACTCTCTTGTAACACCTAATCTTCTGGCGCTCTTATGACCTTATGCGAGTGCCGTAAAACCTCTACTAAAACACAAAACACCTCTAATATCATTGGAATTAATATGACCTTATTGTGTTGCAAGTGCTGTAAAACTCTTACTAAAAACTGAAATACGAGCTCCAATTCAATGAAAGGAGATGGATTCTTCGTTTTTTAATTCATTAAAATCAATAAAAATATCTTGGTTTCAACAAAGACATAAATGAGCAAGCTATTATTAATGAAGTCGCAGGGTGGACACACCCCCGCTGACGTGGCTGCGCCCATTTTTCTCCTGCAACAAACTTGTCTATTCCCAGAAACCATCCATGGCACCTTCATCGGGGACCATTATTCGCTTAGCCTGTAGCTTATAGTTTTCATCTTTTGCAACCAATCAACATCCTTCTTTCATACCAACACACCCGTTGTTGGCACACCCACGTGTCTCAGCGTGTGTCGGGGTCGAGCGGGCAGCCAGCACAAGTGTGACTGTGTCCATGTGTCTAGGGGAGGGGGCACTAGTGGTGCGTGCGTGGATGGTCAGTAGTCAGTAGAGATACAAACGCGTCACAGCACTCTGTCCTTTTCCCCCTGACTTCTGATCAATATTATAATGATATTGATAAGCTAGTCTTGGCAAAGATCTACGAAATGAAGTTCGTGCAGGTCTGTGGAATCAAACGCTGTTTGCTAGGCTATACAGCAACACAACTTGTTCGGCAAACGTTGGCGAACATAAATGATATATCACACAGGCATGCATTTGTACAAATTGGACCTTTTGCACAGTGTGTGCTTGGTGGTAGAGTCCAATGTATTCTAAAATTTTCCAGCATTTCTTCCGTATAGCATCGAAGAAACGAAAACGCCTTTCATTTGAAACCAAACAACTTTTGATTGAGGAAGTCGACTTCAATATACATTACTTTCATGAAGCCTGTAATTATCTAAACAAAAACCTAATGTTTGCTACAACGAACACTCGGATTCAACAAAATTGAAGGCCAGGCCTGATGACTTTGTTGAATCCAAGTTCCATTGTATTACTTGCTCCAGTTTGTAAAATGTTTCCTCTCTGGTTGTTCTTTTAATGTCTTAGTAAGGGTGATTGGAGGATGCCACTGGTAGTTCCAGCATATTTTCCCCCTTTTATTGTTTCTTATTGTCAACGAGCTTCCCTTTACTTATAAAGTAAAAAGTAAAGGATGTTCCAAGTTTTCAGCTTCTGCATCGGCTTTTCCTGTATCTGGGTCAGGTTGTGGAGGCTTTGACCGTCTCTCCCTCCACAGTCTCTCCTAGGAGAATGCCTGCAATGCAATTCACTATTTTTTTTATTCTGTGTTACAAATTCCAGTCTACGGTGGTATGTAACTATTGTGTTGCCGACTTTTTGTATTCTCCAACTCACTATATTTTACTTCATGTGTTGTTCATTATTCTGCATCTCTAGCTCCTTACAACACCCCCATAGACTGGTCTGATCTGTTTCATAGACCAGTTTTTTGTGTAGCTTTTTGTCATACAACAGTTTGTTTTTCTTTAACTGATCATACAGAAATTTGAAATACCGATACTTGTACTGACGTTTGTAGGCACTGCTATTGTTTGATAATTTTTTCTGTGTTACTGTTACTGTTCCCCGATTCTGTTCCCATCAAAACAGTTGTTACACAAGTTACATGTATTGTGTTGAAACAGCTTTCTGAAACAAACTCAACTTCCTGGGAAGCATACAGTTTAAGTTGCCATTTTAAAGGTGCTAAAAAACACTCACATAGTGACAAGATCTTTTGCTGCCTATGACTGGGTATCCATTCTCACCTGGATGAACTGATGGAAATTTGTGTAAAGTGCCTTTCCCTGCGGCACAAACCCCCGAACCCGTAACCTCTCGATTAGTCTGATAGCCTTATTATTGATTAGTAATTAATTAACAAAAAAAACAACACTTAACACCTGCATTATAGATATATATTTTATATATATATTTTAATGTGGGTCGTGATCATTACAAAATGGTAACATTGTACACATGAATATTTCATAAGCTATCAGTGATTGCTGAGGTGTGTTTTTGATACCATTTCTCACCCTACAGAAATTAAACAAATTGTGAAAAGGTAACTTTGTCTCCTCAGGGTTACATTTCACAGAATCCATGAAATGTAAAAACTTCGTCAGATTAATGTGAGAGTGACTTCGTAGTCTGAAACACTTAAGATGCAAATCTTTACCTTCTGACTTCTATGCACAAGACCTTCAGTTCTGTAGTTCAGAGAACAGCTTACGCTTACTACTTTTATTTTGTGAACAGCATACAAGTTAAGGGAGCGGAAACCTAGTAAAAATGTAATGCGTGATTTCTACAGAATGTGACACAACATTTGGGGACAAAAATATGTTTGAAATTTTCAGACAATTGAATAAAACTTAGTCCATGCTCATAATTAATACCTTGGTAAAGAATGACCATGTTGGAACTTATTAAAAATGTACATGAAATCATAAATCACAAGGTCTCTCTGAACGATAATTGTACTGCTGAAGGCTTGAACTACAGTTTTTCAGTCTGCTTGAAAAAACTGTTTCCATATGTTAGATGTGAGAAGACCTTGGAGGTATAAAAATGAAATTTGTGTGACCATTTACCTTGAAGTCCATTCAATAAAATTTTTTAAAGTAAAATATTGTTCTCGTCAAATATTCCTAGAAAGATCTAGCTTGGGTGCTCAAGAACTGAAGGGGGGGGGGGGGGGGGATGAATAATAAATATCAAAGAGAGCAGCGAAATAAAACTTCAGAGCATTAGAAATATATGAGACTGTGAATTACTTCCCTTTTTGACGTTTGGGCTATATTCCTGTGACCTTGAACCCCTCACGACATCGAGACTAGCAAACATCACAACATGATAATGCTTGTACATTTCATTAGTCACGTAATAATAGATAGGAAAGTGTATGTACAGGCAGTCTGAGGACAGTTACATGTAGTTTCTACAACACTGAAACATACACAACACAATTTGTAATGATTATGAGAAACTAAAAGTACAAGGTTATTGAACATAGGCAGAAAGTCAGAGAAAATTAAGACAAAAACAAGTCCACAAAACTCCCAATACTTCCTACTTTCATAAACAGCCATGGTCTACTTCACATTCTTATACAAAAGAATATTTCAAACAACAAAATATGGTAACAGTCACAGAGTGGTAAAACAATATGGTACTAGACAACACAACAGTGAAAATCAATTAGTAATAGGCTCCATTAATGATAAAGAATCTTTGAGTAACAAAGGGGTTCTAGATGTTTGAACAAAAACCCTCCAAACATGACCCACAAGCTCTCACGTATTGACAACTGCCAAAGACTGGCATAAAGTCAGCGTTGAAACAAGGAAAAAAAAAGAAGAGGATCAGCTCGCCCTTCAGAGTGACAGTCGTTTACATTTGCCGGGAGTCCCCACGCATGGCACGAAATAATGATTGTTTTTCTATGTACACTTTAGTTGATATTTGTTAGAGCAGGATACAGCTTGCAACAATAAATGGCATTTGGGTCAACACATTTTTGTTTGTACCAAACAACAAACCAGTTCACATATATGTATATCTTTCAAGTTAGAAGACATTACAAAATTACATCAAAATAAAATCGTATAACAATATAAATTATATCTCTCTCTTTCTTCACATTGATATCAGCATCAATAAGTACAAGTACAAAGCATAATTGTGCAGCTTTACAAATAGAACAATTATTGACAAATGAGATTTCTTTTATCATCAAAACAGTGATCAAGTTAAAAGAAATGGACATGTTTAGTGTAAATAAATAAGGACAGTAGCATCAAAAGCACAGACAGTGTATGAAGAATCATGTTACAGGCAACCATTCCTGAAGCTCTCCTCATCAAACAGAACAAAACAAAACTTGCTAGAATTGGCACAGGTATTAAAATCATTTCCTGACCTGAACTGGCAATAACTGAGATAACCAAACAGACCACGCATAGAGCTACTAAAATAACGTCAGCTGACATAGTAATTTAGATTCTGAAGAGATGAAGAAAGATTTTGCTAAAATGTCCCCCTCTCCAATGACTGTCTTTTTCAAAAAGTAAGTGGTAAATGTACAAAGTAACAAAAGATAAACCCTTTTCAGTACTGCCGTGAAATGGTTCTACATTAACCTTGATAAACAGTTTGAACTGGAGATACCATTTTTTCTTTGTTCTATGTACTATCTGTGGCATTCAAAAACTCGGTCTCTATGCCAGTATTCACATTCATTTTATGATTTCATCAAAACTGACATCAGCAGTTCTCTACCTCTTTGTAGTCTACCCTGGCTGTTGCACTGAGATCAAATACATATCCCTGATAAGCTTCTAAATTTCACTAACTGAATATCTGCGCCAGTGCCAAAGGAAGCAAACTTTTAAAAATGCCACTTGTCAGTTGTAAAGGTTTTACATAACAAAGGCGGTCATCCATCTAACAGACTGTATTTGGAAAAAATAAATTCACATTATTACGAAATCTAGATAAACATTTCAGTATGCTGAAAGTTTTGTTAACTTTGCTTTTGGGAGAACTATCTTACTAGAGAAGTTCGAATCTCTAGATAAAGTAGAGGTATGAAAAGAAAAAATTATGTTTCTCCAGTTTATACTACTACGTATAACTGAGAGTAGGACATACCAAATACTGTACATACATGGACATGTGTTCTGCAAATTTAAAAAAAAAGAACTCTGGAATTGAAGAAAAGATAGTTGTGAAAGAGTAATTAAAAATTGTTACCAAAACTGATATATATGAAAAATAAGTAATAATTCCAAACTACAAGAAGATTTTTGTTTGTCTTATTTTGCTGGAATTGGTCCACTCTATTTAGCTACATCAGGGTGAAGGGAGACTATAAGCAACGATCAAAACTCCCCAATGTTTTAGCAATAAATAATTGTGCATTCTTTTCTTACCTAACTCTAAGATTCACACTCAATGAATTTACTCAATGTCAGGTTGGCTCGACAATAAATTCCACCATGATAAAGTCAACAGTTTTGGTAGCTTGTACTAAGAGCATACACCATGACAAATACAGTCTATATCATTACAAAAAAAGGTGCCGAAACTAGAAAAGAATAAACTGTGCGTTCGATTTAAATGGCACTACCGGATTCAAACTCTAAAAAATAAACGTCTGCATTTTGTCAGGGTTAACAAACATGCTTCTACCCTGCTAGCTACGACCCTACACACAACACAGCTAAACATTCAGCGACTGCTTACAGTTTGCGTTAGGAGAATATACAGGCAAGAATTGCCACTTCTAGAGAACTTGTGCCTTATGATACACAAACATACAATGTACTCGGAAACATTACACATAAACCCAGCAGATTAGTAGCCTGCGTAATATAACAAACTACATCAAGTGATAAATAGCAAGGTGTGAGCACATGATTATCTACAGTCCCATAAGTATACACAGAATGTCATCTAGGGAACCAGCAGGCCTGGGAAGGTCACAAGACGAGTGAAAGGTACGGCGGGAACATGGAACAACAACATCTGTAAGGCCACAAAGAAAGATTCACTAGGACCAATATCACAGACAATGATGTTTCCAGAACAGAAAAAACAGACCAATGCTACCAGTAATGCCGTAAGCTGACAAAACGCCTTTTTAAAAATTCACAGCAGTTACGAGATAAAGAGGTTTTTTGTTAGCGTAACCCTTAAAAAAAGGTGTTCTTCCGAAATTTGAATTCTAATTTATTCAAAAAGTGGTCCCAGTTTAACTTTTTTTCACACAAGTAGGGTAACTGATCAGGCTTTCGATTTAGCAAAAATAAAAAAAAAAATTGATGTCAAAAATGAAAAAAGGCATTTTGTTAGCTTACGGCAGAGCAGTTCCTCAGGTTTGTTTAGGAGCCACCTAGTGTTTAGAGCAGAGATTTTCCACCGCTTGGTTGGTGACCTCTTCATAATAGGCAGACACATTCTATGTTGCAAGCAGCAATGCTTTGAAATGAGCCACATCACTCTGAGAAGTGAGCCAGGAAGTCATTGAGTTCTTCATGGTTTCTGTTATTCTTTCCCCATTTTGATTCAGGAAAGCTGTTCAGCTATTATCTTTTGAATCTGATGTAAGAAAAGGTAGGGAAAAACCCCTGCTCTTGAGGCTTTCTTCCACATGATTGACTTGTACTTTTGGATTGGAGTAACTTTTATTGATCCCCATTTTTCAACTCTAAAACATCTGAAAGTCATCATATACCAAAAAAAAAAGATCAACTCAAAAGGAGAACAAGGGATAGGGATGGCTGAAAGGTAAGAAAAACTCTCAAGGGAACATTTTTTTCGTTGCTCCTAAGTTTGACAGTGCCAAGACACAAAGAAAAGAAACCACCCATTTGACAGCAAAAAACACATTATCTTGTAAAAAAGAAGAAGAAACTGATAGAAAGAACAATCAACAATAATGCACCAAAAGCAACTTCATTTTCTTGAGTCACTTGAAATCACATTTAGCATTCCAGTGAGAGTTGAAAGGGACTGGACATGAAGCCTGGTATTCTAGCGCTGCAGAATACATTTAAGTAAAGCAACTTCTCACTGCACTGGTGCATTTTTTGAAGTCTACTTGCCAATTATCTACAAGCCTCACAACCAACAATCTGACTGTACATATCCACACACGTGCACGAAATCAGACATACAAACAGGGTAAATTGTCTAAAACTAGCTGCTGCCAGACTTTGCTCAAAACATTTCCATATTCCTGTTTCTTTGACAACTTTCAAAAACAACAGTATGGAGATAAACACAAGACAAAAACAAATATACAACAGAATAAAGTAACCACAATAATAGACATATTCTCAGAGACACAATGGAATAAAAGTAACACCTAGCACGCAACAAGATTTCTATATTAATGAAAACCACTGAACAAAGTTGCCTTTTTCTTATGGATTTCATGTCATGTCTGCAAATCAAAACAATGACCCAATTGCTCAACTGAACAGTCTGACATAATCAACAGATCCTGGAAGTAGTTAGTACATGTGATACAAATGTCTTTGACAAGGCTCGATAAATAAGCTGGACTGTAACCGATACTGCTGTAGTCTTGCCCTGCTTGGGTGAAAACTTTCAAAAGAAAGTAGTGAATATTTTACATTTTTTGACTTAATTAATAATTTGATCAACAGCCATATGTAATGTAGGCATACACTTGAGCTGAATAAGGTTCCCAGTTGAATACTTGATACTGTAGATATTCTTACACTCCCATTGACATTTAGGAGTCAGGATGCTTTAACCCTGTCTGTCACTTACTGTGAAGGCTAACCTGGGCTCAGAGGGATAAAAAGTCTCAGCAGGCAGAAAGAGATATTCGGCACAGCCGGCCAGTCTGAGATTCCCTGTACCTTACTGATGTTTATCATACAGCTCACTCCGATACTTGTTATTCTCATCAGATAAATCATCATACAACCAAAGCATTCATGTTATGTAAATACTAGACCCCCTTCTCCGTTCTTTAAAAAGAATATTGGGTTGTGATCACAAGGTAGCGGCTACACAAGTGGATTGGTGGTTGGCTTTCCCTGTTTAAAATTTGACTAAAATGTGGGTTTGTTATTTATTTGGAAGGTTTCAATGTTGGTGTACACAATTTTGGCATGTAAAAGAAAAAAGTGTTTAATTTTCACAATGATAAGTTCTCATTAGAGCAGCCTATTTTATGAATGCAGGTAAGTGAACAAAGGAGACACTAAAAGAAACACTTGAGAGGTTTTGGTGTAAATGCAACTTCAGGTCATCAAGTTACTGTAAACACTTTATCCAAGCGTTTTAATGGGAAAGCTAAGAGTAGCTTTAGCTAGCAGAAAGAGGGAGAAGGAGGGTTGAGGAAGAGAAGGAACTGAAAACAATCTCAGGGCTTAATTTCTGCAAAAGAAATCTTTGTGACAAAAGTTAATTTTTAGAAATAGTTGAACTTCAATGAGGAACTTGTTGCATGCCTTCAGAAAACATAAACAAAACAGTTACAATAGCATGATATAAACAAACCCCAAAAGAAAAAAGCAACTTTATAAATATGGTACTCATCAGCTAGAACTGCACCATCTTTTTGGTTACAATATCAAACACTTCCCTACAGCCAAAGATGTTTCACATTTCAGTGATCAACAGAACAACTTTGTTCTTATAAACATTCTGCCACTATGTCGAAACTGTGATCTAACACATCAGGCATGTCCAGACTTACGGGGCTAGAAGGCAAGACATGTCACATCAAAAGAAGACATGAGTATAAATGGTAAAACCTGTCAGTTTCTGGCCCTCCCATGCTGCTCTGGAAAATACCACGAGAAAGAACATTTTCTTGAGAGCAATAAAGTCTGTGATGACCCTTCTTTGTGACAGAAACCAAAATTTGACAATTTTTTTTATCGGGAGCTATCAAATCTTACAAGATTTTGTCTCAGACATGAAAAGTTATGGCCTACAGAATGTCAATTAGTAAGGCAATGTGAGCAGTTTTTTAGCTTTACGATAATGATTTTGATTAGATTATCAAATCATGATGTTATTGCAATCCAAGCCATCTAAAAAAAAATCCATTTGTTGGCATTGTATGCCAAGCTCATAATTTGTTAGTACTTTAAAAATGGCTATGACATAACAGATTTCCAGACACTTAATCAATAAAAAAAAAGCAAAAGGCAACGCGTGATCCTTTCTGCTTTTCTTCCTTGTCAATCAAAGCTGACATCCCTTGGGAGGAATAAATATTACTGTGTACTTTCATCTTTTTTTTTTTTCAGTTGCAACTCTTCTTTACCCATAAATTGGTATGCTATTTTTTTACAAAACATGTGCCTGCTCGCAGTCAGCATACTACAGCATACTATTATTAGGTTCTAGTTCAAAGCTGGGAGGAAAGCATCACATACACAGTGGGAGTGAGATTTCCATTGGTCATCTTCAACAAGTGAACATATCAGCAGACACCAAACCCAAGCAAGAAAACTAGGCCAAAACTTGAGGAACACAAAGTCAATAGGAGTTATTTACATCTCGAAACATTTCGAGCGTGATCCACAACAACAGTAACAACAACAACGACGATGACAAAAAAATCAACCATGATATGTGTATTCAGCTGTGTTAACATAGGCTAAAGAGACATACGTTTGTTTTTATAACATAACTTTTCTGACTGTTGTCTCTCCCACTTATAAAACCTTCAACTCAACAGACAGCACTCATGTGTTCCACGAGAGATAAATACAAACGGCAGGAAAAGCAATTTCAAGCTGAAGCTTTTCCTGTGCTCCTAAGGGCCAGGAGTTAACATCTCCTCACCTTTTCAATGACAGCCTGCAGTTCGTGACCGCCACAATTTTTCTTTATTCTAGAATGATGTTGAAATGAACGTGAAAAGTAGACAACCCTTGGACCAAAGCAATAAGAATAAGAGCATAATCAATGACAAACCAAGTTGAAATAAAAACAACAACAGAACATGTGAGAAGAATTAGGAATAAAAATCTTGAAGAACGTCTCGGCACTAAGATATTCATGTAGAATAACGATGGACTATCTACAACTGAGAATAGACAGTACCAACATCATCTGTGAACAACAATAACAAAATTTTACATCTAAGCAGACTATGCAAGCAAACATTTTGTGATGAGAGGTGAACACCACACCGTGTCTTTGATAGAATACCATTCTGTGCTTTCTTTTGCTGAACAGACGGCTTCGTGCATCTGCCAGTGCGACTTTCCAAAGTCAGACACATTACGCGATGACTTAACTTTCCAAATATAGATTACATGTTGACAATTTCAGTTTACCTAACCCAGATATCTTAGTTGAAGATCATGAGAAAACATGAAAGTCATCAATCCTGTTTCGTTCTTGAGAAAGCAGGCAGACACCTTTTACTTTTACATGCCAATCCTTTATGGCCTGGTAGTGGTTGGGGAACAACATTCGAATCCGTACAGATCAAAAGTCTCACAAAAACGAGGACTGGAGTATGTAAACTCAGGAAGCCATCTCTGCTGTACACTTGAAGCTTTTGCACTTTTGTTCATCACAGCCATGGACAATGGACATTGCACAAGCAAGCGTGAATCAAGGCATAGCGGGTAGTCGGTCATTCTTCCATCCTGTTCGCGGAAGTCACTTCAGACAAGCTTATCTAGCAACTGACCATGACAACGCCAAAGATAGCCAATTCACAGGGGCAATCAAAATGTACACAGTAAACAGCCGAGTCAGTCAGTGCAGCCCACTTAGGTGGAGGCTGTGTCCAGAGGCACCCTGCCTGGGTCACAGGGGTTATGGGTCACAGTGGTCGTGGATCGCAAGGGTCATTCCAAGCACCTGAACAACATGCACAGCCAGGTTATCCCGTGGATACGCAGACAGGCAAGTAGGTAGGTAGGTAGTTACAAAGGTAAGTAGGCTGGCAGAACGTAAGTAGAAGCTTCTGTCCTTATTTGGAACACCACTGCACAGCCTTTCATTATGTCGTCCATCCCTCCATCCTTGACCTCTTGACCATTGGGCTGTCATGATCCAGGTGCTGACCGGTGGTGGGGGAGTTGTTGTTACTGTGGGCCGCCATCTGCTGAGCGGGGGAAATGTGGCCAGGGACTGTCGGAGATATGTGACCCATGGGGCCCATGTTTGAGGGAGACAGATGACCAGGCATAGCACCACTGCAGCCACCACCACCGCCACCACCACCACCCCCACCGCTGTTGTTGCCTCCGCCCGACGGAGATAAGTGGCCAGCACCTGGCATGCCAGAGGATGGGGACAAGTGACCAGCAACTCCTGATGAGGGTGAGAGATGACCAGTGCCACTTGACAGTGGCCGGAGCTGGCCAGAGGGTGTGGTTGTGTCGCGGGGTGGAGTGATGGGCTCGCTCTTGATGCGCATTCCGCTCAGGGTGTTGATGGCCAGGGGAGATACCTGGCCAGACGATATGTTGCCCATCGGGGTCGGGCTGAGAAACAGACACACAAAAGGAATGAATGAGACAGGAGTCAAGCGGGAAAATCACAGCTTGTATTAAATCCAGGGTGGGGAATAATATATCATCAGATAATGGTAACATATGAGTCAGAACATAGGTAAAATCAAAGGTGATAAATACATCAGATAACAGCTAAAGTAAGAGTTAAACAGTCGAGTTGTAATTTTTAACAAGAAAGCAGGAGACAGTGAGCAAATTTCAGAGCCTTGCAAGGTGAAAGGAACAGTAGACACCTTAGTAAAAACTATACATGGTGTAAACCTTCCACAAAAACTCTATCAATATTAAATTCAGATGATATACCTGCTCATGCTATTCATGAAAAGGAAAATTCCACACTAGGATTACGAGAAGGAAAAGTTTGTGAAACAGGCCTCAATCAAACTCCATCAATAAATCCTGTCCTTCGTACTTTTTCCCTTTCCCTATCTATACAACACTACTGAAAATTTATCTCAAAGACCAGAAAAATAGTACTTTCAGAAAGAAATGCATGATTTGGATTCAAAATTGAAGTGTGGGGATTTTTAATTAATCATAGATAGCATAAAATGTGTACTCTTCCTTGAAACTATTCAAAGAAAAGTCCCAACTTCAAACCCAGATTTCTCAGAACTGGGTACCAGGGATAACTAACTTAAAATGCCTATGTCAGCTTCTGATTAATTTCAAATCAGTAAACGCTCATTTACTCAGAAGATAAAGTACTTTATGAATTTAGGTTTTGACCATACCGGTATTGCTTTTTTTTGTGCAACATACGACTGATTTTCCTAGGGTGCCTCATAATTAGTATTTACCCTGTCACACCCTATTACATTCTGAAACATTCTCAGCTTCTGATGAAGTATCAGTGTGAGCAGTATTTTACAGGCTATCAGACATCAATACATCAACAAGATCTTTCATGATCTTAGCTGCGTACTCATTCAAACTTGAGAAAAGTGAAGAACATTTGCGTAAAGTGTTTTTCCAAAGGGCACAAAGTCAAGCTTGAACTGGGAATCTTCTTCTTCTTCTTCTTTGTTCTTCTAGACTGAGAATCAAATCCAAGATTTCATGGTTGTGAGTCTGGCAGCCTGCTCCCAATGAGAAGAACTGAGCCAACCCAACACTTCACTGAAAAAGCCTGGTCAGAGTAAACCCTGTCACACATCTCAAAGATACTTTCTTTTCAAATTTAATCTTGATCAATACTTGTCCCATAGTATGTTAATGGTGTAAAGGAACTGAATCAAATGGTACTGAATGACAAGGCTCTTTATAATTATATGGCTTTATTCCCATACCTGTGATGTGAGACCATTCCAGCATTTTGAGGAGAGACAGAGTTCATGTGGCCTGGATTCCATTGGTTAAAGCCCATGCCTCCCACTCCACCACCTGCATTCATTTCAGCATTGTTCATCGGAAATTCGTCTGTGAAGGGAACACATGCAATCAAATTTTAAAATGTGTGGGACTCAAACAAGCACACACCCACATATAGGATATCTTTGTTTATAAAGTGGAGTCATTGAAAAGAGAAGAGGGCAATGACCTTAGTTTTGGGATCAATGTTCTCAAAGATAACTACACTGGCATCTGTTGCAAAATGTTTGCACCCTTCTCCTTGAAAGTAAAAGATATGAGTTCAACTCCTGAATGGGGAATGCATTATACAGAGCATCTTCTGTCAGCTGGGATGTCACAACCCATACATCCCTGGTTGTCCCTGATAGTTGGATTTAAAAGAACCAGGCTCTTCATTGCTATGATACTATACATTGCTTTGACGGGGGTGGAAAAAATTAAAATATTTACAGTCATTTAAAAAACAGAGATAACTTACTATCATAACATAACATGGTAAGAGCTGTGGGCAGAGTATATAAACTCTGATAGTCAGATACTTGAATCAAAGACATAACATTTAAACTTGATTAGCGAGTTTTCATTTTTCCAAAACTTCCCATATACCTTCTCCAACAGACGCACACAACGACCCACACCCATCCACTTTTAAGTGCAGACATGCACACAGCTACCCAATGACACTTATACACACACACACACACACACACACAAACACACACACACACACAAGCACAAGCTTCATGCAAATGGGATTTTAAAAAACAACAAAATAACCCCCCCCCCCCCCCCCAACCAACCCAATAACATCAGACCGAAGGTCCTTGCAAGATTTTACATATATGTAGTCATACTCTGATTATAATAGACTTCAACA